GTTCGCTTTGGGACTGCTAAGCCAGATTTTGTATTGAGAGGAAGGCGTAGGTGTTGTTGCGTAAGAAGCGCGTTCTGCTTCAAGCATGGAGGAAGGGAACGCCTCCGCGGTGAGTGTTTCGTATTTAAATGTGGAATGTTATCGAGTATGCCCGCGGTGCAGGATACACGAAAAAGGAGAGACCTACATAAAGCAGCCCATGTTTTTGCCTGGTGTAGTTCGCGAGGACGGCGGTGGATGATATCATGTGCACACATAGGAGGTTGGAAGGCCCACAGCGAGGCTGAGAATGATAGGGAGTTCCAAGAGAAGGCGGGAGGAGAGTATTCCGGTGCTTCCGGCTCGCCCCTGGCTCCGTTTTCTGAGGCCGACTTGTCCGCATGCCCCTCTGGGGTGAGTCTCAACACGACGCGGGGTTGGCCCGATGGTCAATAGAACTGCAGTACAACACACCCAAGTTTGGACGGGGCCACCGGCCGCCCCGGAAGGTGCCGCCACCAAATCAAATTACTCCGTTCTAAAGACTGGCAGCACACGAGCACTTTCTGGTCCCACGGGAAGAACGTGAACTTTGATCGCGATAGTTGGGTGTCGATCGAGTTGTATACCCCAGATTTATTATATGTGGTGGAAAACCTTACGAAATGCTTCCTCCGTGGTGTCGCATCTTTGCGAAGCCTACGCAACCCAGCCATCATGGTGTATCTGTATACACCCGTCTAGGGACCGGAACACAAAAGGATCAGAGCTGTAAAGGATCGATAGGCCACGCTTTCACAGTTTGTATTCGTCGGTACTGACAGTCAAGATCAGGTTTGCTTGTACCCTTTGTACTTTAAGGAAGGCGGTCCTCGAGCAATCCGATACCAAGGGATGCCTCCGCGGGGAAGGTTGTTCCTCCCAAACCGGTGTTATGCCCACGGCGACGTGGTCCAAGAAAATACGCAATTTCCACCGGAAAGGTTTGTGCCACGGCTGTTTCGCTGTCGTCCATTCGCGTAGGAGATCCTACCAACCAATATTCACGACCCCTGGGCCGGGCGTCCGTAACGGATAACACCAAGTGCTTGTTCATCAACTCTCCCCATACGAATTCGCGCTACCCACTGTGGGGAGCTACAGGTTGCTGTCATCTATGCATAGGTACCGGTTGAAGCCGTAGTTTCCACCATGTGGCCGCTGTTGTATCTAGACGTGCATATCCAGGCATATCTAATACACATGCAGCATCCCTGCCCAGATGTACGCGGTTTCTTGATCGATTTATGAGCGGGCTAACACGTTGTTCCCTATGCTACAATCCAAAGAAGAAACAGAGATCGAACTCAAGAGAAACTCACGAAGCGTACAATAGTCTCTTTTCTCACAGCTATGCCGAAACACAATTGCACATCCTTCAGGTGCCATCCGGACAACACACACTTCTTAAAAAACCCATTCTTCACCATCTTGGTGCCCAGATTCGAGTAGAATGGGTGCAAGACACACAACCGGCAACAGCGTGTGCCCAGGTTGCCGTGAGGAAACCTTCACACAAAGAGGTGTGTACAGCGAGCCAAAACAGAGGAGCGAAAACACAAGCCAGCCTGGGCACAGTCAACGCTGGATGCACATAAACTGACCGAACTATGCATATGCACCATCGCCACCCCACCCCACCCCGATCCTCGTCTGGGGCAGGTCGCCAGACGGGTGGGTGGACAGCCGATAGAGAAAACAGTCAAGCTGGTCCGACCCGTTACCCTTACACAACACGGAAACGCCGCAACCAACACTTTCTACTAAAATTACCCACGCACCGCACGCACAAAAAAGAGGCGAGTGACACCCACAAAAGAACCTCCGTGCCACTCTTCTACTGCATCCACCCCCCAGGCTAGCCATACGGCTCTTGCCGTGTCGTCGAACGGCACTCCACGCTGAACACATGCGCGAGACGACTTCGCAGGAAACATTTTTCATGATTACCAGCAGAGCGTACACGGTCCCTCACCCTTCGAGTAAAAGCCGGCATCAAGGGTATCATGGAAGAAGACATCACACCAACTCGGTTGTGAATCTCTCCCTCGAATGGATGAGTGTCCCGACTAGAAAATCGATATAGAAGCCCCCCGCCAATGACCCCATGTGACAATCGGAACTGTTCCTCTCTCCCCTGTCCCCCGAGATACCCCCCCCGCCTAGCGAGCCAATAGAGGCGAAAAATATATCTATTTAATACACGTCAAGAAAGGCTGGAAAGTTCACAGATAAAAACACAGGCTAACACTTTCCGACCGAATCATGCAAGGATAAATCCAATGAATAGATCAACATTTGCCGAGGACAGATAGATTGATGCGCACCGGCCAAAACCTGAAACACGTCAACGACAGTGGATCGCAAACAACAACAGCTTGGCTGACGGAAAAGCGACCCACTTGCCGCACACGTGCCATACACAGGGAGCATCCCAGACCAACACTTGCAGAAAAAGACCACACACACACACACAAAATCGAAACATGCACCAAAAAAAAACAGCAAACACCCGCCCACACACACAAAAAATAAACACTTGCAGAAAAAAAAAACTCGAAACACCTGCTCAAGCGGTGCGCCGACCACGCTACCCCTCTCTCTCTCGTCCTCCCCGTCTATCAAAGGCGAGATAGAGACCAGTGCTCCGATCGGCGTCTCGCTCCCAGCGTTCACCGCGAAATAACAAGAGAGTTATCCAGCACACACGATGTGCTTTCGAACATCCATTCCATGTCACTTTGAATAATTTAAACAGCAATAGGTAATGGTAATCGATGAGACGACGCCAAGGCCGTCGTTATATGCGAACGAGAGAAAACAAGAGCGAGAGCCCTTTTACGATACAAACAACAACAAAAGAGGAGATTTTGATGACGATCGATCAATCCATCAGTAAAGGATTTGGCTGAACCAGACGCTGTCGGGACCCATGTTGAGATTTCCTGTACAGCAGACGTCGGGGACACCGGTCTGGAGGCCCCCTATTGTCGCCGGGGCGGGGAAAGGCGAAAAGTAACAGCGGCGTGGGGGCGTGGTGGGGGGGGGGATGAGAAATGGTAAACTGGACCAGAATAGGGGCAGCGGAACGGCACCCATGGAACATCACGATGAGGCGTGAGTTTCTGGAGGCGGCACCGACCAAAACAAAGGCGCTTATCACGGTCGAAATCGCCGCTTCAACTGTAAACCATGCGTTTAATCGCTCGACAACGTGCACCGAAATATCATCACCGAGGGCGGAAATTGCTTGCGAATAGGATCGGTGCTGGAGGTAGAGGCCAACCGCGTGCCGCATCCCGTGATACATTCGTGGGACACCACACACACCCCTGCATATCGGCTTCGTCGGCTATCCAAGCGTACGCATGTCTTCACGGTTGGAGATGCGTAAGCCATACCACAGAGGAGGGGCGGCATCGGAGCATCGGATAGACCTCGTGCTCGAGACACTTCACACATGATTTGTGGTGCCCCACCCACCAGCGTTTCGGGTTTGCCATATACCCTGCTGGCAGTCTTCCCCTTGGCTGTCGAGATAGATACCAGATTTGAAAATTCCCGCGACGCCGAGGATGCGGTACGGGTTTCGACTCGCTCGCGGTACGTCATCCACACGACGCCACGACTTCTGATCCCCTTAGTATACCTTTCAACTACTACAACCCCCTGCCTAGAGCTCACCTTTCCACTTGATGACCCCTTGGCCCCTGAACACGGCGTACCGGTACGCGAGGCCGTCCGGGTTCTTCGCGGTGCCGCTCTCCACCATGTCGTACAACTCGGGCTCCTCCATGCCCAGGCCGACGTCCCAGGCCGCAACGTTGATCTTGTGGGGGTAGTAGGCCCCCTTCACGGAGGTCACCACCGCCTCCATCGCTTCTATGCGGGAGTCGGGGTTGTCATGGCGCCGGGAAACCCGCTTCACGTGCTCCTTGAAGGGCAAGATGCTGAAGCCGCGGACCCTTAGCACGTTCGACCCCGGCCCGCTCTGGTGGTTGGTTGTTCCGACACGCGGGGCGAAAAGTGTGTTGTAAATATATAAGACGAACGCTGTTTTGGCGAATTGATTTCAGTGAGCCATCAGGCCGCGCCTCGCACGCAAAGAAAGTAGAACGAAGAACGGCTTGTGTTCAAAGCAACATGGTTTTGGTACACCCGATATCATCGACGTACCTTTAGACCGTGCCATCTTCAGATAGAGAGCAGAAGTAGTGGCGAGCACTTAGATGCATGGTTCTACAGTTTTCTCCCAAAATCAAAAATAAATCTCACCTCCATCCTTGGAAAAAAATGACCCTATTATAGGAAGTTATCATCGAGTACTTACTATGTGTCCGGTGATTCAATTTTTGCCCTTCTCGTACTACAGTACCAGTAAATGGTGGCTCCGCTCCCAGCGGGTGACAAGGCATTCAAATGACATACAAGTATGGACTACGGCGATGGGACCCCACAACACACCAGTGTCTCTGGCTTAGAAGGAGATAGATACAAACCAGACGCGAGACCAAATACCGGTGTCTGTGGCCGAAGGAGATAAGTAACTGCTGTAAAGACTTCCAACACATTCCCCTTTGAGTGAGGTTATATCTCAAACGGGTTGTACGCATATTTTCAAAAAAAAAGATAAATAAAACACACACAGTTAGCTACCAGATTGCACCGCAGACAGACACAAACACGCACGCGCACCATCATAGCCAGCATCTGCTCCTTCTCTTCGTGGCTGCTGTGGCGGTGGGACGCGAACGCGGCGACCCCGCCGCCCACCACCGACTTGAAGGCGTGCTTGACGTCCTTGTGGTGCAGTCCGGCGGCGCGACACAGGTCGCGGACCTCTTGGGCGCCTTCCACCAGCCCCACAGCCTTGTCGGAATGCTTGGCGCCCTTCTGGATCATTGCCTTGCCGCTCTTGTGCATCATCGTGGACAAGGAAGACGTCCGTCGGATCGTTTTTGTTAACTCTGCGAATGACATAAACAGGCGGTGTGGGGGGGCGGGGGTAGCTCAAGAACATCGGTGGTGCACGAGCATTCGCCGCGGTAAGCGACGACAAAACAACAGCAAAACATCCCGCTGCCGTTACAGCGAGTCTAATCCCCCGTGCGGCTGTTGCGCATCGCATATAACCCGATCGGCCACAGGTTTCTCACCAAGAATCGTATGCAAATAATGTTCCTTTCAAACAAAGTTAGCCAATCGGAAAACTGCTGGCACCTTTGCGATGTATCCATATGGGCAGGCCGCACGGAGCGTTGGTTTGCCAACCATGAGGGGGGGGGTGGGGGGTGTTGTAGTATGCATACCTCTTTCCGGTGGTAGTAGTGAAAGTTTGCGTGCTGTCTTTCTCTACCATCATCACCAAGGCCGCGCTGAACATAATGATTGTTGTAGGGTTTGGGGTTGGGACGGTAAGGCAACTTTAAACGTTCTCTTGTCTTGCGTGCAGACTTTGCTACAAAGCACGTATACCACTTCGAAACATGCAAGAAAATAGCCATGAAAAACACCGTAGGTTGAGAAGGACATCACATCCCATGAACCGCCAAAGGTCAATTTCAATTTACTCTTTACACCGAAAACATTGGTTGCGCCGAAAATGGCAACGGTCAAACTGTCTCGTCGAGAGGTTTCCGACAAATTTATCGTTTGATTTTACGTCCGTCTTCGTCGTGGAGTAATAGAGCTTTGAAAATCCGTCCGGCGGCTGTGGTATCTCATGCGACCTAGGGTACCTACCCTATACAAAATCAACGAAGATGTGCGAAACGCACCTTTAGAGAGTTGCATGCCTGGAACAAGACCGCCGGCCCGCTCGAGAGGAAACAAACGTACCAGAGGGAAACAGATGTTGCACCATCGTTTTGATGGAACCCAGCAAATGACTCGTCAAATGCGAACAAGCCGACGTTCCGTTTGTCTTTAGTGGGAGTCAACCATGACCCGTCAAATGTGACCAAGACGATGTGTGAATGGGCAGTCGCCGCACAAAATCTCGCCGTGTTCCCTCGGCCTTATGGTTTTGGAAAGAAATAACGAGAGATCAAGTAAGGCCCAAGTTTCTAAATTGGTCTACCGCCGGACGTCCCCGGCTCGAGGCAAGAGTTGTGGGATGAGGAGGAAATTTCTTGTGATTCATCCATCATGTGCCGTTATCAGCTGCTTCCAACAAATGGTTACTAGATAATTGCAGTGACTTTGGCGAAAGACCACACCCAGCACACCCACCATGCATTGGTTGTGGCTCACGCTTTTACTTGCAATGTTTCCCATAGAGAGAGAGAGCCTTTCTGGAAATCGCCTACTCCTGTACCTTTTGTAAGTGAGTATTGTTCGGTACGGCAGTACGCCTCCCCCGCCGGTTAAAAATTGTGTTGTCATCGTGTTGCTTTTTTAGTTGTCTCCCATTTCGATCTGTACTGTTGCAAACCGACGTCGGCGACGCCTTCCGTGGCCAGACAGGCTATGTTCTGTAAGAACTAGGAACTCGCAAACAAGTTGTGCATTCTCTGAGCATTTTTTGGTCATCGCTTTTTTCAGGTCAAGTTAGCCTGTTACCACAGGAATCTACCGCATCGAAGGTATGCACATATGCACATACATAGAGATAAATCAGCACGGAAAAGATGGACATACTGGGCATAGAGATCGGAACGCGGTTTTGAAAAGACGACGTCAACAAAACTTGAAATCAGCGCTCGCATCGAATCCGTGATCACACCGAAGGCTTACGCCCCCCCCTGCTCACCCCTTACCTGTGGTGCTTGCCTTCGAAAGTAAACGCGATAAGAGTGCAGCACTCTCTTCCCTCCAACGTAGACACCCGAGCTGTAAACGCTTTCCAGAACCACAACAGCAATAAAAGTACAAATCTGTACCATGGACAAAAAAACCATGCTGCTGTACCATGGACAAAAAACCATGGATAAACAAAGAGAAACTCCGTAGTACTCCCGTAGTTGAAGGTGTTGTACGCAAAGGGCCCAGAAAGTCAACAGTAATATTAAATTTATTTATTTTGTTGTGTTCGTCTGTGCTTGCTGAATCTCCATATCCTGACCTCCACAAACAGGCATGATAGACTACGTAAAGCGCTCCTTGTAGCAGATACATTTAACATGCATGTGTATAAGTACATGCATACAAGTACTCCATGTTAGGGGATCACGACCTGCCCTTCTTCGTACCGAACGCGCTGTTGCTGCAGCCGTAGACTGTGGCTGCTACACTACAAAGGACTGTAGACTATGCATCGTAGACTACAGCAACTTTAGTCTACAGCAGATTACTTTTGGCGAGTATGCATTGTACTTACACAATGGACTACTATTGTTAAATGTAGTGGCACACACAATTTACAAGTGAAGCCCCGAAGACAACGATAAGTGTTGAGAGCCAACACGTACACATGCATGGCCGAGAAAAAGTCTGCATCTTGGTGATGCCATGCTCGTCGGCCTTTGGTGTTGTGCAGTATGTATGACGGTGCTTGCTTGCTCATCGCGGGAACCAACTACTGGCTGTATAATAGTCTACAGATCGCTTGCTGCTGCTGCTGCTTTCGCTGCTTTCGCTGCTGTCCACATCTGCTGCTGTTGTAGAGCGACGACGCTGATCGAGAGTTCACCGGCTGAAGAAACCATATGCAAAATGCATACGCATGCAATCGTATCATAAGTTGCCACATTCTACAAGCAGTTGTCTAATTAGCGAAGCAATATATGCATATGCATAGACTCATTAGACCTTGCCTGCGAGTGGTGCAAAGAATTTGTGTGGGCCGAAATGTGTGGGTTCAATTTTCTTTTTCGGTTGCGCCGACTTTCTTTGTACTGCACTTGTCAGCCAAGCATCTTCGCCACGCAAGAGAGAGCGAGGGAGATGGTGGGCGTGCAAGCCTACAAACAAGCAACTATCACCACCCAAAGGTAAAGCTGGACACCAAAACGTCGTGCCCCTCTCTCTCTGTTTAGTGGCATCCCGGTTGTTCGTTCCTTGTTGGGGGGTGCCCAACTCACCGCTGCCCGTTGTTTTCCTCTCCGTGCTCTCCCGCGGCAATGACCCCTGGTGCCTCGACTCCTCTCCTCTGTGCCACGTGCGTTTGGGTCGGTGGTTTCTTAGCGTCCGAATGTAGTGAGGCAGCCACAGCAGTAGTCTAGTGTTTTGTCGCTGCTGCTGTGTGTCTGTCGGCTGTCGGCGCCAAAGAGAAGTTGTCGTGAATTTTTGAGGGAATTCCAAGTTTAATTTCGCAGAACGTTTGAGGGTGCGCAGTACGTTGCGCGAACCGGCCTTCAACCCCGTCCCCCCCCTGTGCACCAACCAGCAGCATGTAACACACTACAAAATGTGAGCAGCAGAGCAGCAGCAGTACGCATGGATGGATGACGACCGCGGCTTATTATTGTGGAGAGTGCAGCGGAGAGCATGTGGTGTGAGATGGATTATTCCTTGATACATCGGACGAGAAAACAATTAGACTTGCCAACCGCTTGCTTGTTGGATAACTTCTTGAAGTATTTCAAATCTTTCATTAAATTTGATTTGGAGAGGTGATAATGATTATTATTGTTTCTCTCTCTTTGCTGCTGTATTCTGTTGTTGTTCTTGTTCATGTCGATTTCACCAAGCATTTCCACATGCATATGATTTGCGGTTAATGTAAGGGGCTGCTGTAGTTCACAGCAAACGGTAGTGGTGTTTGTAAGTGGTCTCGCTGCAACAAACAGACAGACTTAACAGAGAGTCGAATAGTCTACTGTAATTAATACGGCGGTACAAGAAGATGATGAGAGGTGGGTACCCCCCCCCCCGTGCGCTTCCACGAGTAGCGAGCGAGTGTTGATAGGATCCACACGAGGATGTAATTATATACGTGGATCACTGCACCAT